CAGCTTGTGGTTTTTGCAGGAAGCACTGAGTGATGCTTGTGTCTTCTGTGTGGTGATGTGGCAGTGAGGAATTGCCTGCCTGGCAGACCTGGGGCTGGCTTAAAGTCCTGCACAAAGGCTTTGCCAGCTTATGTGCCTTACAGAACAGCCATAAAGTGGAGGTTATGGTTGCAGGCCTGAAATGCTAGCTGGAATTTGAGTTTCTGCTGACAAGTCCTACCTTGTGAACGAGTATGTGTGTGGTGCCAGCAGTGCCAGCCCTGCAGTTCCCATCTCTGAGATGATGCCAGCACCTACCTGAGTGTGGCTTTGCTTTGGGAAGGTTCACTGGCAGTGCAGCCCAGCAGTCAGGCCTGGGACTGAGATAGGGATGAGTCAAGGAGGTGTGAAAAGTGTTGTCTTCAATCAGCTCATGCTATGTGGTGACTTGGCTTGGCCATGGTTTCTGAGGTCCCTGGGCAGGGACGATCTCATCTTCCACTGTGCTGGTGTTAAAGCTGTTTGGGGATGTGTCAGCCCCTTCCTTGCTCCATTGCTTTGAGGCTCCTGTTGCAGGGGGCTGGAGGCAGGCAGAGTGCCCATGGGCAGCCTTTGCAGTAGTCATCAGGCAACAGCCACTTAAAGCCCAAGGTAAGACTAAATTAATCCAAATTTTCACATTCTTTACCTAGGTCTTTGCTCCTCCTCCTTTTCCCCATGTTGGGCCTCAGTTGCTGATGTTATCCAACTTTTGGCACCACCACAGCTTGACTCTCTCTGGTTTGCCTCTCCCTGCTGCCTGTCCATCTGTTGGTACCTCTGTGTTTTGGGCACTTCTGAGCTGCAAAGCTTTGCAAAGAGGAAAGAACTCAAATCTGAGCTAACCCACCCCTCTGACTGAAGACAGGGCAGGGCAGGCTGGCAGCTTTGGGGTGGGGAGTAATATAGGAGCTGTTTAAAACATCCTCATGGGTTTCTCGACTAATGCCACATGCCCAGGGCAAGCTCTTGCCCAGCAGCAGGACACCAGGGGCCAGTGGCTTTAAGAACCTGCAGTTACTCTTGTCATGTTCATTCTTTTTTTGTCTTCGTGATGGCAAGAACCTTGTTCCTGGTCTTGTGTGGGGAGAGCTGTTTGTGAGCTTTGCAGGTTTCTGTGTGGGTCTCCTGTGGCAGAGGATGGGGTGAAACTGTCTGGAACAGTCAGGTGCTGGTCCAGAGTGGGGTAGAGGTTTACCAAATGAAAGCTGACAAAAAGAAATCCTCTTAATTTCTTATCTACTCACATTTAATGGCTGTATTAATGTTCTACTTGCTTGGTCAGTGGAAATGGTTAAGATAAACGTGGAAGTTTAGATGATTTTATGTATCACATCAGAGACATGCTTCAGTTGTGCCTTTATCTCTGAAAGTAACCTAGGAGGACTCCAAAATCAGATTCTCCTCTTGACAAGTCATTGTTCAAACTGAACTGGAGCCAGAGCAGGTACCCAATCTGCACTTTTCTCTCCCCACACAGCAGTGTGTGAGGTGGCAAAGGGTGCAGGAGAAGCAGCAAGCTGCACTGCCCTTCAAACCTTTCAAACCCATTTCAGAATCTTTATTGAAAACAGCCAAAAAAAAGAAATTAATCACAGCATCTCAACTGTTATTCAAACACATTTAATAAACAAAGAGAAACAGTAGCAAAGGGCACTGACACGTGACAAACTGTACAAAACCTCTGGGTCTGCAGGCGAACGCGAGGGGAGGAGCCCAGGGCCCAGTGTGGGACTGGGGAGCTGCTCTGTCCCCCCACCCTGCAGCCCACCAGGCTCCCTTCACCTCAGCCCACTCAGTCACCCCTGAGAAAAATCGATTTTGTTTAAAAATGTGCAGAAACAAAGACACTTTAAGAGGTTATTTTTTTTTTCCAGTTTTGCCATAATGTAACAATTTAGGCCACTGGGAAAGGTTAAAAAAACCCAAAAGTGTCATCCATTCCCAGGATTAATGCTTTAAAGTGAACTTTCCCAAGAGGCACAAGCACTCTTGGGCAGTCAGTAGATCTACCCCTGCTCACCTACTCTACTCACCACAACATGCTACACTTTAGAGTGAATGGGACAAATTTCATCCTAATTCAGCACTAGTTTTGCTATAGTTGTGACTGAGTGAAAGGCAATGGAAGGAAAAGCCCTGTTTGAGCACAGAAGGGATGCAACTGGTGCATAATGTTGAGACCAGCCCTGGTCTCAGGGTGAAGGTGACCTAGCACAGTCAGGGAAGGAGAAATCCTCCACTGGGAATGTACCTGCTCTGGATGGACTTCATGCCTGGTCCTAAATACCACCCAAAAACTCAACTGTCCAGTACCAATGATTGGTTTTCTACCATAAACTTGTTCTGTTGAACTCAAAAGACCCTGAAATGGAACCCAAAGATTCTGTGGTCCCCTGGCACTGCTGAAAGCAGCATAGAGGGAAAACCAAGATGCAACTCAGTTAGTCTTTCTTGTGCAGGTCAGTTAACTAGCTGTGCCATTTGCCTGGTAATGGGAACTTTGAGGCTCTCTGTGGCTCAGAGGCAGAGGAATGGCATCACTCTGCATCAGGCAATCCCGATGGGCTTCACCATGTGGTGGTTTTGGTGACACAGAAAAGCAAGGAGGTGTTATTTTAATCTGCTTGAGCTGTACTGGACAGAAAAATCTCCCTCTGCAACCAGCGTTTGCTTGAGGACCATAGCTGAACAAGGTGCTCAGCTGGCATTGATGAGACAAAAGCAGCTCGACCAGTTCCTGTTGCCTTTAGTTTGACATTTCCTGACCAGTTCCCAGAAACTCCCTCCTCTGAGGAAGGGGAGAAAAGATGAGAGTGTTAAAGGGCTTTTTAGGCTGCTAACTTGCATACATGTGCTTCTTGATTTCTTAGCTGTGAGCACAGACAAGGACTGAGGCTACAAGATACAGACAGAGGAGAGATCTATACACATCACAGTGTTGTTCAGGTCCAGCCAAGGTGTGAGGTGTAATCACACCAGTACCAGCTCACCACGTGAGAAGCAGGGGAGGTGCAGGGAAGGAGAGCTGAGTTCTGCAGTGTGATGGCAAACCAGCTGTGATCCAACAGCCTGTAACTGACACAATGTGGATTCAAAGACAATTTGGCACAGTCTGTTGTTACCAGGATTGATTAGCACAGGCAACTAACCAGTCTGTCTGGAGAATGAGGCAAAGGCTCCACCGGAGGAGGTACATTGGCAAAGTAGGATGGAGAGGGCAGGGGAGAGGATGGACAGAAGGGTTGGAGAGGCAGAGCACAGCCACTCGGTGTCTTTGCTGCACATCTTGGTCGCTGAACTGGTTGTTGGACCGTTGGTGATGCTGCTGCAAGGCCGTCAGCAACAAGCGCTCGGATGGGAAACCTGCCTAACTGTATCTCAAAACTTCCAGGAGACCACAGGCAGCTGAAGTCCTCCAGAAAGGAGCCCAACTCCTTTGGTGGTGAGGAATTTTCTGATACCTTGTTGAGAAACATCTGCGCTGAGCATGTCAATGTCAATTCCAGTGTCTCTGAAGCTTTGCTGTAATGTCAGTTTGGGACTTGACAGAAAAAGACCCAAGTACCAGGACACTTAGGGCTACAGAGAACAAAGCCAGGATGAAAGGGGAAAAACATGCAGCAAATTCCTAAGAAATTCCATTTATCAGACTAGGAGGGACATGCCCTTGGTTAGGGGTGGCACAGAGTAACAGAGGGGAACCAGTGACTGCAGTTTGGCTAAGATCAGAATTCAAGAGAGGCACAAACGAACATTTTGCACATCCATCCAAGGCATTCCAAAAAAAAAACCCCAAAAAACCCAAACTAGAAAAAAAGAAAGAAAAAGGAAAGAAAAGTCACAGAAGTTGACACATCACTTTGGACAAGAAACATTACAACAGTTTGGCAACTTTTCACCAAACCCCCCACCCCAGCTCTGTGATGTCCCCCTGTCACTGGAGGTCTCTGAAAGGAGGGACACGAGGGGCTGCAGATAAACCACTCTGAGTAGGGGATCTCCTCTGCAAAGGATCTTGTGGGGTCAAACCAACCTACCTGCTTGCTACAGTACAAAAGAAACTGCTTGAAGCCCTCCCTGGTTAGGGGGAAGAGACAGAGCCCACACTGCTGGAGACAAACAAGGCAAAGCTGAACTTGGCAACAACAAGTCCCTAAACCTTGTGGCTTTACACCAGGCTAAGATATGGCCGTGGCAGGCTACTGGAGGGGAAGATGTCACCACTCTTCCTCTGCAGAGGAGTGTAAAGGACAGAACTATCACTATTTTGGGTGAACACAGGCCTCTTTGTTTATGCATGCGAAGTAATGGGCTGTGGAAAATGCCAGGAGCCCTCGTGTACTAGTGTTAACAGTGAGACCTGTGTCAGATGGACACACAACTCCCCTCCCCTTAGATCTAAACTCAGCTCTTAGGAATTGAACATGGAACAAATACAAAGCAAGGATGGAAAAGTTTGTGTGGGTTGTTTAGGAGAGGTTGTTTTGTTCCTCCTTTTCAAGCCCTGTTCTGATTTGGGGCGGGGAGGGGGAGCATTGCAAGGTCCCTGCACTTTTCTGGTGGCAGACCCGGGTGCAAGAAATGGCACAGCTCAAATGTGGATCTTCCCACCCACACCAGGATGGGGAAGGTGGGATTGATTACAAGGGCCTGAGGACCTGAGCAACCTTCACAAAGGCTCTGACTGGGAATCCAGCCCAGCCATTGCTGGGAAAATTCAATACAGCGCTGGCCAAGGAAATAAAACAAATACTTGTGGAAAGGACTACCCAACTGGAAGAGTCTTTTCCTTCCTCGGTTTCCAGGGTAAGAGAGAAGCCTTTGGTTATGACCAGGATTATTTGCCATGGCAGGACAGGCTTGGCTTTGCTTTGCATTAGCTTGGTTACTGTGCAAGGGCCTGGTTGCTCTGTGGAGATGCTGTGCCCAGCTGGGCTGCCCTGTGACATCCGGGAGTTTTCATGGAGTGGACGCTGGAATTACATCCGGGATCCTCTCTCCTGAAGAATCTGAAACAGAAGAGATCTCTGTGAACACCTCAGACAAGTTCAGATGCAAAAGGTAATGTTTAGAGTCCTTGTTTTTTTGCAGAGAGAGGAAACGTGGACTGACGTGAGAGGAGCTCTTATGCCACCATGACAAAGGACAGGCTGGGTAAAGGTGAGTAAGCTCCTTCCCTAGAAATCCTGCTCAGCTGCCTGCCAGAAAGTAAGGATGTTGCCTTTTCTTTCTGTCCTAGGGGGAAAAAAAAGTGAATTTGTAGAATCATGGAGTAGTTTGTGTTGGAAGTGACCTTAAAGCTCATCTCATCCCAACCCCCTGACATGGGCAGGGACACCTTCCACTAGACCAGGTTGCTCAGAGCTCCATCCATCCTGGCCTGGAACACTTCCAGGGACGGGGAGGATTGAAAGAAAACAAAACCTTTGTTTTTCCCTGAAACATCCTTCAACTGCAAGATGTAATCAACCTCAAAGGTCCCTAAAAAGTCTCTCATTCCTCCATTTTTTTGGGGCTTATTTTGAAGCATGCACAGAACCTTAGCTCTTGTCCTACAGTAAAACATGAAATCTTCCAAGAGGGGATGATGCAGGAGGCAATGGCAAAGCTGATACACAGAACTACTAGTGCAGATTATGGATCTGTAAGTGCAGGAAGGTGGTTTTTTTTTCCATAGGAGAATTCAAGTTGATACACCTGAGCAGGTGCCTTACCTTGGCCTTCTCGCTCGGCTCCTTGACTATGCCATTGGTAGAATTGTTGAGCTCCCTGGACACAACACAGAGGAATTCTGCCTGGTCTTCATTTCCATAGTTATAGGAAGATCCAATGCTGATCAGCTGTGCAAGGAGAGACACACAGGTACTATCAGTAAGCCTTGACTTCTGCTTTGTTCCTACAATTGCTGTGTGGGGAAGGACTGTCCCGGGAGAGCTGTTCTGGACCTGAAGTGTCCCAGCAGCCTCCTGTGTGTTTGTGTGTGTGAGGCAGGGACACAGCCGAGCTCCACAGCCCTCTAGTGGCACCTGGAGCCCCGGGAAGGAATTCCAGCCTGAAACTAATGCTGAACACAGCAGAACATTGGCCAATTTCTGAGGGTGGAAAAACAGATTGTGCAATATGCAATATCCACCTCACTCAGCCATGGGCAGGCAGTGCAGACTGCCTGGCCCATGCTGAGCTCAGCTCTCAGCCTGCCCTGTGACCCTGATGTGCAAATGAGAGCTCTCTACCCTAGACAGATGTTGGATTAACTGGGGACATGCGGCAAACCAGCACTGTCCTTCGTGGAGATGCTGTCAAGGTGGAGTTTGGGATCTATGTAAATGGGATTATATTCTATTCCTGTTGTGCTGAGGGTGTCTGGACTCCATCCAATAAATCCCATCTGTCTCATTTATCATTATTCCATTAAAAGGACATCCTGGAGTGAAAAGCTAATTTGTCATTTACAACTCAGTTCTGCTTTCCAGAGAATAAACCTAAGTTATCTGAAGAAAGCAACGTGAATATTACCAACTGAGTCTATCCAGGGAACTTTAATGTGCAGTGTGACCCTAACTTCCATGTCCTAATGGATTTTAGAGGAGCCAGCTCCATATTTATATACAAACAGATGCAGTCAACAGCCTTCCCAGGGAGATGCCTATCTGTATGGTTGCAGTGCAGCTGCAGGAAGATCTGGGGGGCTGCTGTACTCACTGGCCTCCAGTAGTGTTTGTAATAGGCTCTGATGTTTGTGCCAAAGGCAAAACACAGAGGATGGGAAAAAAAGAGGTATTTTGCTTCCATGCTCCCTGTATCGAGTGTTTAAGCTCTTGGATATTTCAACACCACACTCCACTATTTACTCAACAAAGTATCTGTTGATGAAAATGGCAATTTTCCAGACTGTGGAACTGCAGGTGGACAGGAGAATGGATTTTTGTTTAAAATAGCAAATCTCCATCCTATCCTTAATTTAAGCAGGACTGAATGGTACCAGGCAGAAAACCTGACTCCTCTGAGAACCCAAGGCTGACCGACACTAAGCCTGCAAGAGCTTTTCCCACTTCTGGCTTTCCTGTGAGTTTCTGAACCAGTTCTTTGGGGTTATGAAGTGACTGGATGCCAAGAGCCCCTGCAGGGAATGTCTGCTCTGTTCAGTCCCTGGCAGCCAGGTTAGGATTTAGCAATAGGCTCTCTGTCCCAAATCTGGAGATCTGTTGTTGTCTTTCCTAACATGTTTCTGCCTGTCAAGAGGTGTGATTAGGGGGAGGGTAGGAGCAGTGCTGGGCTGCACATCTGGGCAGACCTTGGCAGCAGGCTGCAGCCACAGTGTGCTTCCCAGCAGGACCCAGTTCAGCACGGGACACATACTGGGCTGCACCATGGCCCTGTCGCTGTACAGCTGTGTGAGCTCTAGCACTGTGACTGTCCTGTTCAGGCTATTGCCCTTGGGGGGGTTTAAGCTGCATGTAAGTCACTCAGTGCCTCTGAGCAAATGCAGGAGTCATGGCATGCTGTGTTTTTTCATGGCTCTCATAATTTTCCTGGATAAAACTGCTGCCTGGTGTCTGTGATGAAATGCAGAAGGGAAAAACTGCTCTGGGATTTGACAAGGATACAAGAAGTCCTGATTGAAAATTAAATCTCTTTGGCAGTTTAGTGACTTGTGCCTTTCTCTGTCAGTGACTGCACACAAGTGAACTCTTGCTCAGGTCAGGCTGCTTATTCAGAAGAGTAGAGCAACGTGAAGTGCAGTTCAACAGAAAACTCTGCTTATTCCATAGCCAAAGGAATTCTTTCAAAGGAATTCTGCCATTCTTTGGTAACAGTACCTGTTCAAATTTCCACCCGTCAGACATGGTGGACACCATCTGTGTGAGCTCTTCCTCTTGGCACTGCAGGACTCTGTACACATGTTTCACAGGTCCCTGAAGCACAGACAATAAAATCAGTGTCACATTAGTAATTGTTATAGTAGTAGCAAGCTCGAAGATTAGTAAGCCTTTCCTGCTCTGTTGTCTTACTATCCAAGAAAGTCAGAGCCCTGGAGGCTTTCTGAAGTTTTATCCCATGATTCTAGAACAGCCAGTGGCTGTCACACTTTTCTTAAAAGCTTTCTGGGCATCTAAGGGCCAATGAAAGCAAAACATCTTTGGCTTTCAAAGCCATTTGCTGCTTTTTGAAAACATTCCTGAAATTGAATCTCCTGAGTGTGTTAATATCAGCTGAGTAGCAATGGGAAGAAACTGCCATGGGATATAAAGGGAAAAAATGGTTTTGATAAGGAAGAGTTTGAGCTGCTCTTTACCACAGCAGTGTGTTTGGTTTTATAACCAGTTCTCTCTGCTCCTGTCCCCTCCTGTGTAACTGCTCCTTGCCTTTCCCTGCAGTGCTACAAGATGACTTGATGGTCTGTGCTTTATAAAGCCATAAAGCAGATTCCTTTCTAGCCTTGTCCTGGATCTACCCAACAGCACTTATTCCCCTGTGACTGCTGAGCCAAAGAACTGCTGCTGCAAGTGTCTGCAGCCACATTTGTGTTTCTGCTGTGCTCCAGAACTGACTGACATCACACACAAGTGTTCCTGTGCCTTACTTGGGAGGTTCTGTTCTCGTTGTCCCGAATCCTCTCCTTCACCAGCCGCACCAGGGACGCGATGTTATAGAACTCAGCTTCTTCCAGTACCCCTGAGAGGAACCCAAAGCAGAGACAAACTGTTACTTTGTACAGGGTAGCATGAAGATGATTCTGCTGCAAGAAAGCAACATCTACTCCTGGCTCCAAATCTAGCCCAGATGTGAGAACCCCAACTGCTGAACAGACTGTGCTACCAACATGCTCTCAGGCTGGGAGATGACACCTAACTAGCTGTCACCTCCCTGTGTGATTTGGAGGATCTTTCAGGAAGATTATTCCCCTTTCCCTGGGATTATCGGAAATCCTGTGGTACAGTCTCTATTCTGCTCACACAGCCCCATGAAGGGAAAGCTATCAAAGATTTTTCTCTCCAGCCTGCTAAGGGAGAACCAGAGTCTGTGAGGGAGAGATGGGCTACAACAGACTTTGGGCTCTGCTGGCAGAAGCCTCTGAGCTCAGCAGCACAGCGACAGGCTGTGCTGTGAGCAGCAGCCTCTCCTTTCAGAACACACAGAATCTAACGATTTAATCCCCATTAATAAGCAATTAACAGGACTAACAGCACTCCTGGCCAATGTGGTCGCTCACACCTCAGCACCAGGAACCCTGTGCACTCAGCTGGTCTCTGCTGAGGGCTCTCAGATCTGCTACCAAACTGCACTTAAAGTCCTTCCCAGCTTTTTCCCCTTACCTTCCTCTGCAAGCTCCTTGTTTATGATGAGTTTCCCGTGCCGGAGGTAGTTCAGAATGGGACCAAAGTAGGTGGGGTCTCTATCAATGAGATATGCTCCTGTCTCATCCTGAGGAACCACATGGGGATGGTTAAGTGGTGCCAGGAAAAACAATTACAAACACAATAAATTGAGCAGTTTCTCTTTGAGGAATTCTGGAGTTATTTGCTATGGGAGGTATATGAATGACTCCACATGTAACCCAACATTTTCCCTGTTCAATATCTGCACTACAAACATTGAAGCTCAATAGCACTGGCAGATGCCTCACATGGAGCTCTTGCACAGAGTCTGTATACCCAGAGAAGGCTGAGCAGTTTTTCTTCGCTGCAATAAGACCCAAAACCTGGAAGTTGTGTCCTCCCTAAATCTGTTCTCCAGACTAGTTTAACCAATTGGCTTTAGAGGAAAATGGCATATTCAGCACCTGACACCTGAGGCTGTTCAGCTTTTTCTTTCTTCTCCAGCCACATCTCCAGCATCACAACTACTGCCAGCAAATAACCCACAACTCACAGCCAAAAGCATTTCCTGAGCAGCTCTGAAGCACCAATAATCCCCTGAACTATCATTTCCCAGTCTTAAATCACTTCAAACCAACCTTTCTCCTGCCAATCTGCTCTAAAGCAGTAAAAACTGTGCAAACCCACTCTTAAGAGTCATTTGCACTCCCTGATGCTGCTTTGATCACAGCCAGGATTTCTCTCTTGATTAAACTCTGCATGGAGAGCCAAGAGACATGGTTAATTCAGTCTGACCCATGACCAACACACTGACAACACCTTGTGCAGCAAATCCTATGGAAAACCTCCAACTACAGGAACAGCTGTTTGCAAATCCTCATGCCAAAGCTGTGCAACCATGCAATGAACATGCAGTGTGAGAGTGAAAAAAACAACCACAAACATGCTCGGGGTGAGAAATCATTACAATTCATTAGAAATTTCCCTCTGGGTCCCTTTCCTGTCACCACTGTGGGAAGGAGCTGAGTGGGACTGAGTCACTGTGGGAGGTGGAAGGATCAGATCCTGAGCAGTGACCAGGGCCAGGGCAGACCCCAAGCTTTGTTCTGGGGGATGCCACCAGCTCTGTGTCCGTGTAACAGGGCACAAGCACAAGGTAGTACGTGTCAGAGTGACATGTGGCCCGGGGTCATACTACAGCCTGGGGGTGCCGGCACAGGGGCACAGACAGCCGAGGCTGTCACCCTGCCCGTGTGGCAGGGCCGGGCGCTGCTCCCCACGCCCCCGACAGCCGCGGCGGG